GGAAAGAGGGATGCCCATCGATGGCGCTTACGCATTTGGGCGGGAAAGTTTGTTAGAAAAGTGTTACCGGCAAGGCGACCGCCGGTGAAGGTCGGTTAAGATCGGCGACGAAAGAGATCACCGGAGAACCGGAAGAAGTTTCGAAATCCGGTCAAGAAAAGGGAAGAAGAGGAAAAGGTTCGATTAGGGTAAGAAGGGTTCCAAGAGGAGGGGGGGAGGAATGTGAGCGTGAGATTAGATTTAGGATTAAAAAAAAATTATTTAAAAAAATTATTATATATATATTTTTTTTATTAAAAGAAAATATCAAATTTTGTGCAATTCATTCGTGCACGGCGCCCCAACAAAATGGGTATCCTCATTAGCTAAAATCGACATTTCAGACGCGACGACGGGGTCCGTTTCGCCATCTGGGGTCATCCGGACAAATTCGTCGACGATCAAACCAATTTAACTTTAATTCGAACATGTTGTGGCAAAAGAAGTTATTTTGGTCCAATTGGAGTCGTTTAACGAGTGAATTGATGACCTATCCTCGCCTAAATGACAACTATAATCAAATAAACTGATCGCTGCAGAAAGTCAAACATCAAACGTCGTGGGGTCCACCTATGTCTTTCAAGTTCCTGTAGGAGCTCAATTTGAGCTTCGATATGTTGGCTTTTCAATTGACTCAATCAAATGTTGAGGATCTGAAACCGTCCATATGAAACTTCAAAGAGCGAAGAAATGACTCGAATTTTTAAGTAGTGTAGGTCCCAACATAATCCTCTAGGAGAGTCAAAATAGAAAATCCTAAGGCTACATCCTAAGGTATTTAAAGAAAGGAAAAGGAATACCTCAAAAATGAGGTCAACACTTATTCGTGAAATGATCTCCCTATTTATAGGGATAAGAATACAATATGGTGATGTTATATTTCTTACTCCTGTTTGATGGGGTTTGTATAGGGTATTCTAAGTAGTTCACAGCTATGAGTGTGTCTCTCGACTACTATAGAGCTCGTTCACCTTAACCAATATGGCTTCGACTTGGTAGGGCTGGTTCGTTCGGTTGAGCCTGGTCAGGTTTGTCTATCAACTGAGCTCGTTTGTCATCGGGTTGGCACGACTGGTTGTTGACCTTTGATGATAAATTGGGGAGCTTCTGGGAACTCCCGGTATGATTAGAGTATTGATGGGCTTGATCTTCCCTCAAATCAACTTCTTGATGCCAGATGGCTAGAATGCATCTTTGTCTCGGTTCTTACCCAACGGCTCGAATTCGGTTCATTCGTTCATCTTTCGTGACTCAGTTATTTGTAACCTTGCTTATTTTGGCTCAAAAGACTGCACTCGTTCGGATAAGTGGGTCATTTGCTCTTCTATTGGTCAACACTATTTTATCATACCCTCCTTTTCTAAACCATCACGTCTCCTCAAGACAAATGCAAGCACATTTTTTATGTACATAAACAATTGAGAAATATGTAATTAGATTGGGGTATTATCAAATGAAACTAAAAATAAAAAAAATACATAGATTAAAGGCAAAATGTAGGAATTAATACATTTAAATTCAAACTAATGTTCAAAGAAAATATAAGAAAGGCTCAACATGCAAACTTCACTTGTTTTGTCCACCATTACAAGAGCTAAGATTTAATGTAACAATGTAATAACACAATACAAAAAGGCATGTGTAGATGTGTTGGTTTAAACATGAAACGCCATTGCTCAATGCTCATGTTAGCCAAATAAATAAATAAACATAATCTTCGCTTAAAAAAATGTGTAGCAGAAGAGAAGCCTAAATTGCAGATGAATCCTAAATTGGTTGCCACAAAAATCAAAAGTCGTAGGTTAATATAAAACTACAATATTCGAGAGCCAGAAATCACAGTAGATTCAAAAAACTCTCCATCGAAAATTTTTTGAAAATCGATTATGTGGCATAAATTATGAAGTATGAGAACGCAGTGCAAGAAAAATCATGAAGTCAACCAATTTATATAGATAATTCTATGTTATTTTTACAAACTTTAAAAAGAGGATAAACAAACACACACACACACATATATACATACATATATATATATATATATATATATATATCTCGAAAGCTTTTGGGCTTGGTCCGTTGGTCCGCCTCTCCCTCTTTCTCTTCTCAAAATCACGAAAAGCTTTCACCTCGATTGAGAGAGCTTAGGGTTTGCCTTTTGTGTTTTCTGCTGGAATGGGCTTGTGGACCTTGCTGGAAGGATTCCTGCTTCTTGCAAATGCATTGGCTATCTTAAATGAGGACAGATTTCTGGGTCCAAGAGGATGGAGTTTCTCAGAGGTTTCGGCAGGTGGCCGAACAAAATCTCTCAAAGGGCAACTCACATCTTGAACTTAATCATCGTGGTTGTGAAGTTTGTTTCAGGATGAGATGTGAGGTAATTTGTGAGTTCTATGCCACTTAGGGTTGTTCATACTATGTGGTCATCAAAATAATTCAAAATGCTTTATATTTTGATTTTTTTTTAAGTTATTTATCCTTTTTAGAAGCCCTTAATATATATATATATATATATATATATATAATTAGAATATTATAAATGATACATCATCAATAAATTCCATCATCACAAATCTCAAGGCATGCCACATATGTCGAAACAATCTTTTGAGCAAGAAATGTTCAAATTTTGATAAAAAGTCATACGGAAGTTTGATTTCATCAAACTTATAGTAAAATTGATCGGCTCAACGGGACGGATGCAGGGATACCAACGTTAGTCCAATGTAAATCAAATCAAGCTCAAATCAAGTCATTAAACCACTCGTGGAAGATTTTGGACATATTTAAAAGGTAAACGAATGTTGAATTTAGCAAGTCTATAGTCAAATTGAGCATCTCGACAAAGACGAATCTAGTGATCCCAAGATTACTCTATTCCGACATCATTAAGGCACTCAAATGTTCATCAGATGTCATATGATCGAAGGAAAGTCTTCGGACTGTCAGATCAAAATTGGTCATATACTTGCATTAATTGCACCTAGAGGACCATAAACGAAGCCCTACCCCTCTCATAACGGGAAGGGAGCTTGATACTTGAGAAAGGACTTAAAATTTTGAGAAGGAGTTGAAGTCTAACATTACTCCTACTACTATTGATCGTCGCCGACCACCATCGACCACCGCCGATCGCCGTCAGCCACCACCTGCTTGCAACCACCGATCGCCATTGACAATCGCTCACTTCTTACAATGAGTTCATTCATACTTTGACTTTATAATTCAGAATATTTTGTAACATTTTCTTGCCCGTTGGACAATGACTCTCTGTAATCATCAACTTATAGTAAATTTTTATAACTGGGTGTAGAATTTGTAGTTTTTTCTCTTTACAGATTTTTCACGTTAAAAACTTATGTTGTCACTAGTGGTTGTTTTCTGTTATTCGAGCGTGTGCTAAATTCTCATGCAACACTAAGACGATAATCTATTACTCTATCGCCATCAATTTTCTAGCACACATCTATAAGGAAAAAAAAAACCAAAGAATAAAGGAAGGAGGATAAATTATACTAACCAATACGTTTAAACTCATAAATAAATAAAGGTTGACTAATGAAAACTCATAAAGTATATATTTTGTTTACAAATATATGGGCTAGGATTACGTGTTATGACTCATGTGGAGTATCATTATGCTAGTAGGCGGTGTTAGATGTACCAAGCTGAAGGTAAATAGCATTGTTAGAGTTTTAGTTGCCCAAAAATGATGGATTTTGTTGATCAATACCCATAAGAAGAGATTTAAAATAAAATTTTGAGTCATCATGATAAAAATAAACTAAAAACTGTCCACCACAGAAGTGCGAACAATTATGTGCAGGCCAATACAAAATCAAACATCTTACACACAATAGCTAACGATAACACAATACAACAATCATGTAATAAGACTCTGACAATCTAAAATAGTGTATTCAATACTTTCAAGTTACTCTTTTCATTATTAACAAGCCACTTTAATTTGAAGCTTTAATGATCTCAACCTCATAAAATTAAAACGATAAATTCTCTCTCTCTCTCTCTCTCTTTCTCTCTCCAAATGAAGGAAAAAATAGCCACCAAAATTAAAAATTTGATTTTTGTTTTGGTTATCATTTAGTTTCAGTGACATCATGAGTTGTATTGAGGAACTTATGGAAGCTTCAAATGAAAAGAAAGACTAAATAAAGTACTAACCAACTACATTAACTCAAGTCATTTAAAGTAGAGATAGCTATTAATATTTCTTAGTAGAATGGATAACTCAAATTTGAAAGACATCGATCTTTTTTTAGACAAAGATTGTCGGTACTTTGAAGCCATTTAAGCAAATTCTATGGGTGTTTAGTGCTTCGTCAAAATAGAAAAATTTAACTAAATCGAGCTCATGTGATTGATTTATTATTATTTTTTTAAAAATAATGATTTGATTTTTTTGGCTTGAAAAATTTTTATGTTTGATTTTGGATCACTATTAATCCTCATTAAACCAATTAATTCAAAAAGCAAATAGTTTTAGAATCAGGAAAATAAATTCATCTACAAAGAAAATAAATTGATCACATAACATACTCATTTCGATAAATTTAAAATTTTGAATACATGGTGCATGCATAAGAAAGATATTCAAAATAGGTTGCTGAAAAATAATCTGTTGTTAAAAAAGTTGCGGTGTCTATTATAATTTTTTTTTTTAAAAATTCAAACTGTAGCTAGAAAGTTGACACCGCACCTAGCTAGGAACCGTGTGAAAACGCTGATTCAACGGTTTGAAAATGTAATTTTTTGAAAAACACTATGAAAATACAATTTTTTGAAAAGATTGTCAAAATGAAATTTACCCAAACGGATCTGATGCACCGCATCAAATGAGCTGCCCTAAACGGGACCTTAATTTAATTTGTTATATCTGACAAGTTCTGTAAAATGTTTAAGCTATGGAATAAATAAAAAAAGAGAGAATTACATGAAAGAAATTACGGCAACTCATGATAGATATTTGAAAATTTTCCTTAAAATAATTTATTAAAGAATCAAAATTATTGCTGTGATGACAGAATAATGATAATGGTTCAAATAATAATAATAATTTAAATATGGAACTCAAGCACTTACACTTCCCAAAAATATATATACGAAATTAAAAAAAAGGACCATTTGCATATATAAAACCTAATTTTCATGCATTTATATATTTAACATCTAAATATTCATATTCACATGCATAACATTATAATCTTTAATTACAAATCACAAATATCATTGTAACTAATCATTCATGCATGATATATAGGGAGCTTAAGGTGTCGGGTAACCTAGACTATTAGTTGACATTTACGATATAAGACCACTTAGATGGGGGTTCGAATTCCCTCTGTTGACCTTAAAAGATGGTACTCAATTTGTTAGTCACATTAGGAATTACTTGAAACTCTTATAATTACCTCTAGCCATTATATATATATATATATATATAATGGAGAAGTAGAGTAGGGGCCGGAGTAATGGAAGGAAGAGAGAGGAGGGGGTGTTGTGGGACCCACCACAACTGAGTGGAGGAAAAGCCGTCACGGATTTCATGATGGGTCAATCAATGATCCATCTTCATGCTTCCATTTAAGATGACGGGACCCACTCCCTCCCATGGCCCAATACCTTAACCATTTCGATTTATAAATCATTCGCCGAAGTGAACCCCCAAAAGCTAATGCCGCCAGCTCTTTTCAGCTCATCTTGGGTGCTGCGCTGCATCCTTCACATCACTTTCTTTCACCTTTCTATTTATAATTATATAACACTTTAGAATAAATAAAAATAAAAATAAAATAAAATGATTTATTAGGGCTTATAATATTACGAAATCAAATATTAACATACATGTAAAAATTAGGCTCAAATTATAATATCACCAAACCAAGTTCAATGTATGGCATCTTAGGCTGATTATAGCCCTCCTCATAGTTGTATTATATAAGAAAATTGTATCTTAATAGAAACATACGGAGTTAATAACGAGAAGATTGATAGAACACATAATACCAATAAAAAAGATTATCACATTTTATTATTATATGCAAATAAAAGGTTCTTATAGGTCAAGGGGGTGTGGAAAGCCCATATTTTCCAAAATACGAATGTCAAATGTCAAGTATCAACTACCGAGATAATTTGTTAGTCTCAGTGGTACCAGCTGCCAATGTTGACTTGTCAAGTTAATTTGTCATCCTCAACTGTCCAAGTACTAGTTGTTATGCACTTTGATCAACATTAAAGAAAGAACATACATCCGTGTACGTTTATTGATCGTCTCACTTCTATGACATTGCTTTCCTGTATCCGTGTTTCGTGAATATACCTCGCAATGTACTGAAATTATTTAACATTCTCTCTTTATGACTTGAAGAGGGGAGAGAAGCCATCAAGAATCATTATAAATAAAACCTCTCCCTCCTTCAAGATGGGGCTCGGCTCTTTTTTGTCTCCCTTAAACTTCTTATGAAGGATTCATGCGAAGAATTTTCAAAGCACGCACCCACTTTCTCCCACGGCATATTTTCTTCGCAGATCTCTCTCGAGTTATATGAACACGCAAGTCTCTCTTAAGATGTACTAACCTATAAAACAAAACAAACCCAACATTCAAAACGATTTATTAATTATATTTGAAGAAAAAATTCCAACATTTTCATTAAATTATTATTCATAGATTCTAGAATCATTGAATTTACATGAAAGTTAATATAATGTAAAGTTTAAGTAAGTTTAAGAATCATTGTTGCTTTTATTTAACTTTTCAATGCAGATATAATTGAAGCCCACATGTATAATAATTAGGGAATCAAACGCCTCCAATGGGCACTCAAGAGTTTGAAGATCTGTGCTTCCCTTTTACATTTAATATAAAAGAAAATGAAAGTTTTTCATATGTATTTACACACATAGCACCCCAATTCATATGTATTTACATGTCTAACATCTAAACTTTTACATTTATGCCATTCAAATTCTTCATATTATATTAAAAATATTATTATTATAAACATTAAAAAGTGAAATACAAATTGTTATGCATATATGAGGTGACATGCAAGTAAAAATTGAAGTTTAGGGGTACACAAATATTGCAAAAACATAGGAGTTGAGTGGTATTTATGTAAATCTTCCTCTTTTATTTATTTATTTTAAAAAGGTGAGCCCCATCCTAATTTTTTTTTTTCAGGAATTAATAATTGATTAAATTTTATTTGAGAGATTTTGTCACTGGTGAAGACATGGATTAGACCACCTCAACATTATTACACAGCTTGGCAATTGTACGTGTTAACAAGCCAAACAGTTAATGCATAAAAGTAGCTTTTGAACCTGTAAGTTCATAATTTGCCATATTTATATGGGA